TCTATCGTCCTTCTCTTGCTTCTTGGTGTGTTTCAGGCGGAGGACGTCGCGAGCAACGTTCTGGCGTCGCTATCCCACGCACCATCGCTGACCCTGCACAATTGTACCAGTCATCTGTTGTATGTTCTCTGTCAATGTCCCGTTGAGAGGACCAACGAAATAGTGGGCCAGCAATCTAGTCGCAAAGACATCCTCGCTTTCTTCCAGGATCTCAACCAAAACCGAGTCGACGCGTGCCTGTGAGAAAGGATCGAAATTTGTCCGGATGAGCAGCGCGAACCTTGTAGCATAGCTTCTGCTGCTAGGATATGTTATATGCCCATTTTGTCGGACCGACAGGACTGCTGAGTCGTACTTGACCAGAAATTCTTGGCCTAGCGTCTCTCGAGGGTGAACATCCAAGAGGATACCGCTGAGCTTCACAAGGAGGCCTCCGGGAGTAACGTCGGCCACCGTTGCCATAGCCACGCCAGGACTGTACCCTTTCCCTGTTGCTGTCGACCTGAATGATAAAGGCGCCCATCGAAGCCCATTGACATCAAGCCGTGGTCGAGGGGAGAACAGTATCTGAGTGGGAACGTGCTTCATTTTGGAGGCCACGACACGCATTCTGCCCTCGATGGTCTTCTCGCTGAGAACGTCGGCTGGGTCTTGTCCTACCAATGTCGCAAAGCAGATAGGCTCGTCTTCCAGATGACTCGTGGTGCGGAACCTCATGCACTCCCCAGTGATCAAGATTGTATTTGCCGCAAGCATTGGGTTGTCATTGAATCCGCCGCCACCGCCTGGCCACCGCATTTCCTCAAAATGGTCACGGGTTTCAACGAAAACAAAGTCAAAGGACCAACCCATAGCCATTTGCAGAGTGTCGAAGTCTCCTCTCCAGGGAAATTCTGGGTCAGAAGAGATAGACCCGTCGCCAAAGTCCCAAGGCGGTGGGTATTTGGTCACATTCTCATAAATCTCCGACGACCGCGCAAGTGCTCGGAGCATCGCAGTGGCGGTCTCAGGCTGAGATTCCTGAAGTGTGTCGTCCTCAGTTCCAATCAGATTTGCCATAAATTGGATACCCTTCTACCTCATGTCTTCCGTCTTGTACAAATCGCGTTCTGCAACAGGTCCGTCGTCGGTCTGAAAATGAAGCTGGTCTCTCTTCGCCAGAATGCTCTCTTGAAGAGTCCATAATCGATCTCCCCAAGTGCATGCCTTGACTATCAGAAGGTCTAAGCTTGGGTGGCCAGTGAATCCCGTCTGTCTCAACCAGCTGTCGACGACCAACACTTTGTCTGAGCCTCTGTAAGTGTCCGCCATAAGTTGGATGGCCCTTTTCCTCAAATTCATCTCTCTCGGAACGCAGATTGTGTCTATCCAAAAACAGACAGGTTGAGACCGTTCCGGATAAAGGCCATTGACATAGTCCTGCAGTTTTCGAAGCTGACAATCTGGAAGGGTATTGTTGGTAGGGTTCCCCAGGCCATCGGACCAGACGTGAGAGATCGCCACATAAATTGCATCGGTGGACTTCCGTACTGAAATGGCCGTGTCTTCGCCCGAGGCCAATACTTGTATGACAGGTATTGATCCTGATTCGAGGATACAGGCTATCGTGGCGGCCGTGCCATCGTCCTCACCTTGGTGATAGCATTTGCACTCTGGAGATACGTGCTTGGTTTCATAGATAGACTCATCAATGTTGTTGGCAAGACAGATCTCCACCGTGCACTTCGTATGATCCTTCGTCAGGAAAAGTCGGTCCCAAGTTCCCAGAAGATACGTACTGGTGGAATGAATCATCTTCTTCTCAAGGATTGCAATCTGCCATCCACGTCAGTACAGTGCATAAGACAGGAGACGAGGAGACAAGCAGCTGAAATGTACTACCTCCCCAGGACACCACCCGGCGCAGAGCAGGCGCCAGCGTAATGCATTGTCCAATTCCCACTCGAGGGTTAATTCGCCCTGTTTACTGAATATTTTCTCGCATGCGTAGAGAAGGTACTCGCTAAGCAGAACGATGGAGAGTATTACAGAGTCTAGGACTGGCGGCTCGTCTGCCTCAACACCCCTAACAGGATAGAATTCTCGCCGCCATCTTATGAGCTTGTTCAGGTTTGAATTAACCTTGGAAAACGTGGCAACATGACGGGACCAGATTAGCCCATTCCGCTCCTCGTCGTGAATGTGAGTCTCCTTCGTAATCCAGTAAAGTGTATACAACGATAGGTTAGTAGTATCTACCAGAAAGGAGTCTTCGTCGGCCTGCTCGTGATCCTCTTCAGGGTTATCGAGGTCTTCGGAATCCTGGTCACGATCATCAGATATGACAAAGTCGTCAATATTGATGTCAATGCCCGAAGGGCTGAGTACTGTTCTCAACGGGCCAAAGAACAGCCAGCCCTGTAGAAATGTGGCAAAAAGGTTGAATCCTTTTGGGTGATTTTTACCACGGGCAACGAACGCATCCACGTCGAAATGATATCGCGAGGCCCACCCTCTGAAATCTTCTGCGGTGCATTCTCTCTGACCCTCGCAGAGCCAAGGCACGACATGATCGTCTAGGGCGATATATGGAACGACATCTCCCACGGACAATGTCGTTTTGAATGAGGCTCAGTTCAGGGGGATAATGATTGGGAGCAAATGAGTCGGAACGATTGAGCTTCACAGCAGACAGCTTCTGGGATCTTCGATCGCCTGTGTTGCGAGCCCATCATGAGATAATATGTAGTACAAGGCTCAATCTTGAACGTGCGAATCAGTCTTGAGGGAGGCCTTGGATTCGTAGCGGCGCCCAGACCCTGCTGCATCGATCAGGGGTTCTCCAGGCTCCACCCCTCTGACTTGTTGTGAATTTTGAAAACGACCAAGACAAGTCAAACGGCCGGCTTGGGGCCGAAGGATGCGCAGCACTCTGCTCTGCCTGCCATGCCATCTTTCTCATAATGATTCCGAACAAGAAGCAGATGGACCTTACTTGCGGCTGTCGTGATGCTCCGCCGCTCGTATCGTCGCTCCTCGGTCTCGCGACGTCTTTTTCGTCTCCTACTTTATAGCCTCGGAGCACTCTTCGTCCTCGACCTGCTTACCATCCTGAAACACCATCGAGTGTTCAGTGCCAACCTGATATCTCACACGTATACCTCGCCTACGCTCCTCCCCACGCCAGTTCAGAACCAGAAGATCTTCATTGTCGCGCAGTTCTGGACAAATGCGCATATAATTTCGGAGCGATGGGGTCAAGCGCTACTCGATCTAGTAGGCGTATTGGGCAAAGAGAATGTCTATATCAGCATCCTCGAGTCGGGGAGCATGGACAACACGAAGGAAGTGTTACAAATCCTGGACGGTGTGCTGGAACAGAACAATATCCCGCATCTTATCGTCTTGGATTCAACCACACATGCGGATGAAATCAATGCTGGGCCACTCGATGAGCAAGGCACGCCACGGCAGGGTTGGATTCAGACCACAACCGTTGGAACGCAATGGGGCAAGGAGCTTCGCAGGATACCATACCTTGCGCGACTGCGGAATACAGCCCTGAAACCATTCTTCAAATTTCATGACGAGCAAGAGCAGAACTTCGACAAAATTCTCTTCCTAAATGATGTCGTCTTCCGGCCACAGGACGTTTTGACGCTACTGGCCACGAATCAAGGATCGTTTTCCGCAGCATGTGCCATGGATTTCCATCTGCCACCAGCTTACTATGATACCTTCGCGCTTCGCGACACCGAGGGACTAGGGACCATTCAAACCACGTTTCCCTACTTCCGCAGCATCGAGTCCCGTGAGGCGATGTTGAAGGGCATGCCAACGAAGGTGTCGTCTTGCTGGAATGGGATGATTGTGATGGACAGCGCTCCATTTTACGAGGGTCTTCGGTTTCGTGGTCTGAGCGATAGTCTCGCATCAAAACACCTTGAAGCGAGCGAATGCTGCCTCATTCACACTGACATGAATGTTACGATGCCAGGAGCAGGTAACAGGATCTACGTCAATCCTTCTGTGAGAGTTGGCTATACCGTAGCCGCGTACAACACAACGCATGCAGATCCCGATGAGAGCTTTGTCTCTGCAACCCAGTACGTCACTGGAGTCTGGACCAACCGCCTCCGAAGGAGCGTCCTCGCCCGAGAGACAAAGATGATGAAAGAGGTGAAGAGGAAGATGGCACGATGGGTCAAGGAGGGCGAGAACTCGTTGGAGAAGCGAGAGGAAAACGGCGAGCTCTGTACTATCGACGAGCAACACATTCTTATTTGGAATGGTTGGAAGCATGTGTGAGGAGGCCACACAAGATCAAGTGGTGAAGGCCTCGACACATTCTGAAGCAGGCGATCCGAATCGACCCTTTCGGCAAAGGTATACCGATTATCGTTGGAACAATCTCGCCTGGTGGTTAGGCTGCGATGTCTCGGGAACGAAAGCTTTTATCACGTCTGGCTGCCGTGTGGTGAAGGACAAGCTTCTCCGGATAACTAGATGGCTGCTTGACCACCGAAGAAATGCTCAACCACGGGGATTACGAGGTGGCACAATGGCCACTTGAAGGAGGTCAGCATCATGCCTCAAGTGAGAGCCGTCACAAGTCTCGGGTAACATGGCATCGCTCGTTTGGAGAGGAAAAGAATGCCCTCCACCAAATCTCTTCTCGGAGAAGTTCAAGCAGAAGTTCTCGAAAGGGGAGAGCCCGGGATTGAAACTACATTTTGGAACATGTCGCTACAGGATGTCTTGTCTTGACACCCCTTTACCTTGCCGCCAGTAGCAAGTGCCGTCCCTGTTCGCAGGACTCTGGCTGCAAGACCATACCAGCACATCTAGTACCGTGGGATATTCACATCCACCTATGCCTTAGTGGAGACAAAAATCTTTTTCTTCACAGACCCGCTCCCCAATACTAGAGTCATTTCAGGTTCAACCTTTCATGGCATTTTATATTCCATTCTATAATTCAGATGCCCCAAATCTTGGTCATGAAATCACACACACAAGTCGACCCGATGGCGAAGTTGGTTACCGCATCTGTCTAACACAACAAAGTGCACAGAAGATCGCCAGTTCAAGTCTGGCTCGGGTCATTCGATTTCATCCTTTTTGACCTCCTTGATCTTTTGGATTCTGGCGCATTCTCTCTGCACGCAACAAAGCAATTCGTGCCCAGATTAAAGGAACGGATTATATTTGGTTATTCCTCACATATTGATGATACAGCTGGCTCAGATATCCCATGGTAGTCGTAAGATGGTGAAGTCCATGGTGATACCTCAAATGCAACTACTGTGTACAAAAGATTCGATTGACAACGCCATCGATAGTTTACCAACGGCGGTCATAGATTATCCAGAGCAGATGTCCACGAGGAGCTCGCCACATGCCTGCAAAAGGTGTTCGTTGTACGATCGGCAGCCTCCGTTGCGTCATCTGCTCAGCCTCCACAGCCTCGCATGAGACCCCGGACTTCACCTGGCCAATTGCGCGATTTAACCACCCCCTGGACTCTTCTCACCACCCAGGCAACTTCGTTTCTCACTCCGAAGGCGACCCCTCAACCCTCCACGGTTTTGTCCATATAACCACCGCCCGACTTCCTTTCTGATTTTACCGCTGCATCCCTATCATCGTCACCGAACGATCTACAACCATCGCCATGACCTGCGGTGACCTGTTTCTCGGCCTCATCGCCATCCTATTCCCTCCTATCGCAGGTACGTCGTCTCTCCCCTCCCGACCTTCTCTCCCCTGTGTACTAACCTCTCCTCTCCAGTATGGATCAAGTCCGGCCTCTGCTCCGCTGACTCTCTACTCAACATCCTCCTCTGTATGCTCGGCTACCTCCCCGGCCTCCTCCACGCCTGGTACATCATCGCCCGCCACCCTGAACGCGATTACGATTACGAAGTCCTACCCGATAGTGAACGCGGAGAAGGCGGAAGAGTCACATATTACTATATCAGACACGAGCCTTCGAGACGCGACTATGGAACCCAGGGTGGCCATAATCGACCTGCCCCACCACCACCGCAGGGTCAGGCACAGGGCAGTAGACCGGCTCCGGCCCCGCCGAGTCAAGATGGACAGATTCGCTTACCTGAGGGACCGAGCGTTGGAGCTGGAAGCGAGGAAGCAGGCGCACCGCCGAGTTACTCGGAGGTGGTGAGAGGGGATAACAAGATTCAGAGGCATGACTAAGCGGCTTGCTCGTTGCTATAGGGTCGATGTTGAGGGTCGGCTGGTGGTTGCTTCCATCGATTAAAGTTGTACGAGTACTATGGGACCGGAGTACTCCTTAAGGAAGATGCGTTGGGAATGGCGTTGAGTATCACAGGTCCTGCATTCGCGGCTGACGGGACCTCGAGCCGATATGGTAGTAATGCATGATGACCATTCAAAACATGAGTCGGCTTCACGACAGGTCTCTTTCTCCGGAAGGCCGCGATCATGCGCATGCTGTTTAGTTATGCAAAGTGAACGATCATCTGACCACCCCAACAAATTGAAGTGCTTCGGAACGGCACTCACTTTCGCCAGTGAAGCCTTACTGCTCCAAGGCGCCGTGCTATTTTATGCGACTGAAAAACGTCCGCTCCTCATGAATCATGACATCTTGATCGGTCGCCCAGTCACCCGTACTCGAACACTTTTCTTAAGCAGTAAAAGCACACGCCAACCGCCGTCACACTTCTATCCCCGTACGCATGCAACCTTCAGAACTCCCACTCAACCAACATCCCATCCGCACCTCTCATTTCTCCCGGATCATTCCCTCCACCCTCCTCTCCATCCCAATTCTCATCCATTTTGACCTTCCTCTCCTTCTGCTTGATGACCACGTTCTTTACAGGCCCCTTGTCCCTGTCGACCTTCCTCAGCAGGCTGGGGATGTTCTGCCGGCGAGACAGACCGACACGGTAGATGGCTTTCTTGGTCGACGTCGTGAGGTGGGCAATTGGGGAGTGTTTAGTTAGGCCTTTTTCTGCGGAAGTAGCTTTGGGCTTGGCAGGAGTGGTCACAGGTTGGTTCGCGTTGCTTTTGGCAGGGGATTTGCTTAGCTTCGGCTGTGCTCGCACCTCAGGCTCGGGCGATGTGAAGGGCGAGATGGTCGGCGTTTTCTTGGAATTCTTGCCCTTTTCGCTCTCGTTTGGAGGAGAGATGTTGGAGGGTTTCTCGGCCAGTGGTGGGCGAGGTGCTGTGTTGTCTTCGTGTGGTTGGGCCTCGTCCTCCTCGTCAACGATCTTCTCTGCAGACTTTTGTGCCGTCTTTTTCGGCTTTCTTCCTCGCTTCTTAGGCTCCGCCGCATGGTTGTTAGTCTCGGGGTTGAGGGGTATCTCGATTGTGATATTGTTGGCCTTTCCTTTGGTGCGCTTGTGTGAAACGACATCCTCATCTTCCTCATCCGGCAGGTCAACCTCCTTCTTCACAGTCTTGAGAGCAGGCGGCAAATCCAATTTGACCGGCGCAGGCTTCGTTTCCATCCACATGACATCTTCTTCACCGTCGCTCAGCATCGGATCGGTCTTCTTGAGAAGGGCTGCAGCAGAAGTCTTGGCGCGTTTGACTTTAGCCTTGCGACCTTTCTTGGTGCTGGATTTCGTGGATGGAAGGGTCGGCGTTTCTTCTGGTACGTTGACGGTGATGCTCTTGGCTGGAGTATGGTGGTCAAGCTCAGGTTCCGGGACCGGTATATCAGGTACTTCCTCTTCGACAACCTTCTTTGACCGTGACCGGCTTGGTCGAGGCTTGTAGTTGTCTTTCGGCACGCCTATAGCAGCTTCGTCGCTCAAATTTGGGCCACTTGACGGAGGTTTGACGGGAGACGAGTCGTCAGCTCTGGGCGGGGCCATATCTTCTTCTTCTTCGGCTACGACCTTCGAGCGTGAGCGACTCGGACGAGGTTTGTATGCTTCCTTTGGCAGGCCTATTATCGACTCATCACTCAGACCGAGCTCGCCGTTAGATTGCTTCACTGGTGATGATTCAGCAGCATTTGCTGGGGGTTCCTCAGCAATCTGCTTAGACTTGCCCCTCTTTCGCTTCCTCGTAGAAGATATAGGTCCTGAAGCCTCGGAAGCTTGAGAAACAGAATCCACAGTGCCAAGCCTCGACCGACCGGGCGGTGGCATACTCGTAAGCGTAGAGTCTTCCACGTTATCACCATCTTGATCAGCTCGGGATTTTGAGGCCAAAGTAGAATTTTTGGCTTTGCGTCCACGCTTCTTCGGTGCGGGTCTCTCTGTTGATGGCAGAGCGACATCTGCGGCATCCTCGTTGATTTCGGCTATGTTGTCAAGTTCGTGAGCATGACCAGGCACGTCCGATGTCGCATCGCTTCGTATGAGGTCAGCTGGATCTACAGCCAGCGGTCGATTTGGAGAGGACTGAGACACAGCCGGCAGGGGCTGGTCTGCGATTGGATCGAAGTTCGATGCATCGGTATGGGTGTAAAGTGATTCTTCTGGACCCTCATACGCATTTGCAAGGTGATCCATCCCAGCAGGATCAGGATCACCCACTAAAGACATTTGCGTCGGCGGTCCGAATGGGTTGGCATTGACGTCAAGCCCGCCACGGAAATCGAGATTGATGGAATGGTACTGGCCCATAGAAGCCAGTGAAGTGGTCATCAAAGACGTTGCGTCGGGCGCAGCTCTTCCAAGAAACGACGTCTCTCCATTCTGGCCACTGAAAGTGGTTGCCGCCGAAAGGTCTGGTGTTGCATGCGCACGGTGTGAGTCCGAGATTTCTTGAGCTATTCCAGTCGTACCAGCATCGATTGAGAGCGAGGACTCGTTCTCCGTGGGTTGGGGCAGAGATGGGGCGAACAAATCGTCACCAATGCTGGACCGCGACTTAGAAATGGCGCCATAAGTTTTCGACCTCTTTGACTTTGACTTCTTGTCAGGCTCATGTGATAGATCCTTGGAGCCACCTTGTAGGACGCTATGAGCTCTTTTCTTGGACTTCACAGCAGGTGACATGTCAAGTGTAAGTGAGGTGAGATTGGTGCGGGCAATTGTCGCATTGCTTTCCGGGTGGTTGCTGTTGTCACCAGCACCGTCTAGCTGGCTGATCCCGCTGAGATGGTTCGTAGCAGACGATGAAAGTCTCTGGGTTTGATCCAGGAATTGATCGAAGTCGATGACGGAAGGCGAAGCATGAGGCTTTGTCTCTTCGTCTACTTGGGTGATCCTATAGGCTTGTTTGGGAGGAGAACCGAGGTCGGACTCTGCATCGGAGTCTGCTATCTCTGTAGGCATTGCCACCGCGCCGTCATCATAAAGTTCGTGGAATGTTGTTCAAGCGTACACCGTCCGTGATGGATTGGCGTGCGGCCTTCGACGCGTTCAAAGACGCGGTGTCACGTGTTTTTTTATCTGGGCAGCCTCCGCAACCAATATCCCCATCTGGGAGAAGGTTTTCTTGTTTTGGTAAGGGCTGCACCTTTTTCATGACCCAACAAGATCAGATGTTCACAAAATATATACTCGGCCTCACCCCGGCATTTTCACTCTTTTCCCTCCAGTACTACATTTCACCAGCCGCGACTTGTGCGATGGATGCAGAAGAATGGGCTGATGGTCAAAGTGTGAGGTCTACATCTTTTTTTCTCAAGTAACTATCTTCTGAAACAACCGGTACATGGTTGCAAAGTTACATGACTCCGACACTTTCCCGCAACATATCACAGCCTACTTCGAGACAACAGGGCGCGACAGGGATCATTGCTTTCACCTTTTCGTTTCGTTTACTGAAATGTCTCTGAATGTCATAGAGACTCATCATAGGGTCCATGCGTTGAGATGATTTTCCAGGCGCTCACTCTCAATGGACATTTCATGGAGGATTATCAACATTCGAGCAATGATATTCCCGCGTGTAAGATCCAGAAGTCTGGGCATTCGATTCTGCTTCTTGCAATCCGATCATCTTCACAGATGTCTGGAGGCACATGATCAAAGGCTTTGCGTAAAAGCTTGTCGAAGGACCCGAAAGCTCGTCCAGGGCTCTTCCATCGAGTTCTTGCGGCATTAAGTCCTCAACTGCCGAGTCACTGGACCAAAAGTATGCCTCAACGGGTGGC